GAGAACCATTGCCTATGGGGAATGCTTTGTTGCTGACGACTTAAAAGTATCCCCATGTGGTTTGTGGGACAAATTTCTCCAACCCTTCAGAGACCACTTCTACCATTCAATGTTGATGGTGTTGCCTAAAATAGATTGGCTGCTCTTGAAACTAAAGTAACTATAGGGTATATGGTAATGGACCTGATTTCCTAAGTGGAAGTTTTAACCCAGTAAAGAATTGCAGCATATTCCATGTGGATCTTGCCTTTGTAGCTGCTAGATAGAGATGCCTAGACTCTCACTAATTTTCACTGGGCTAACCCGTAACTCTGATGATTCTTTCCAACCCTATGGTCTCAGCCTGGTTGCAGATCCTAGAGTGCTGCAGTGAGGTCTCACCACTAAGACAGCATTCTGTGGTGTAGCGCTCGAATGACTGTTTACCTACTTGCTAATGTACAAAATACATTGTCAATTAAAAGGGGTCTCATGAGTAGCAGTTAGCAAGACTCTGCTCTCTAGACAGCCATATAGCTTTGAATTCTTCAGCACACCTGCGGTTTCACCATGAAGAGTGGGACTTCATCTCAGCCATATGTCATGTCTATAACCTACCATTGTCACTTCAGTCCTCTCAGTTGACTACGGTCTGTGCAGAAGCTGTCATGCAGAAAATATACACTGACACTTACCTAATTTGTCTCTGGGTTTTCCTTGTTCAGGGCCTGGCCTATGTAGAGTACGAAAATGAAGCTCAGGCCTCGCAGGCTGTATTGAAAATGGATGGGCTGACAATTAAGGAAAATGTCATCAAGGTGGCAATCAGTAATCCACCTCTCCGAAAATTCCCCGACAAACCTGAGGCAGGGAGAGCCTCACAGTCCATGGTACCACGACAGATTTATGGAGCGTAAGTATTCATGGCACGCATTGCTTGGGGGTGTTTAGAAAACATCAGGTGTGTAACACAGGGATACTTAGGAACCACACCCAGGACAGGTGAGGATAATGTTTGAAAGGTGCTAGAGAAGTGCCTTATTGTTATGGTTTAGGGTGTGGCGGATTCACAGGGTTGGTAATAGGATGTAGACACTTCCCACTTCCAGATTGCTAGTTCAAATCCAACCCAGTGCAGCAGTGACTGAAAGGTACCATGGTGTTGATGGCTGTTCTGGTGATAATCTCTGATGTGAACATCTGAGCACAAAACTGGCCTGAATTATCTGCTATTGGCAGTCTTGGCAAATTGGCCAGGAAGGCTGTGCTCTCCTTTCATCTCGGAAAGGTGCTCCCACGGATAAGGGTTTAAGGCACGCTAGTAGACCAGGGGTGTGCTGCTGCTGTGTACTTGTTCAATGGATAAATAGGAGACTTCAGTCTCCCGGGCTGTCCAGCTTGGTGCCTTTTGCCAGCACTAAAATACACTCTTTCAACGGGCAACAAAATGAAAGCAACGTAAACACTGCATTGCCTGGTAATAAAACAACTGAGAAAGGAACAATAGTTAAATGGGTGTTCCTTGTGGTGAACAAACCTTTTCTTTCCTCTTGATTCAAATGTAATGTACCAACCCTCCC